TCAGGTTGACGCTTGGACAAGATGATCTTTAAGGTCCCTTCCAACCCAGAAGATTCTGTGATTCTGTGACTTTTGATGTCTCTTGCCCAAGGGGCGAGGTGTGTTGGGTGAGGACAGGGTCCAGGCGATGGCAGGGACCCCAACCAACACCCTCACCCTGTGCCTTGCAGTGGGTGAGAGTTCAGCATTGCTCTCTGTCTCCTCTTGATTTCTCATCTCGTGGAGGATTGTTCTGTGATCATCAGAGAGAGCTCTGCTTCTTGGGTAGCTGCTCTTCCCAATGTTCTTGGTGTGACAGAAGGGAGGAGGCAGGGGAAGGGGTAGCAGATGTCTGTGCAGCTCACCAAGCAGGCTGAGAAATGCTCTGTTAATAAAACAGCTTCTGTTGACACTGCAGACAAAAGGCTCTGACTATTTCTCCGTGGAGAATGAATTTTTATTTTTTAACAGTTACAAAGGTGGAGAACAGGGTAGCCCTGTGTCACCCTGGGATGAAGGGATGTTGCACAATTCCTTCTGTAGGGGCTTGGGAAGGCTCTGAGGAGTTGGCCTTTGAGAAAACGAGAGCTGCAGAGGGAGAGAAGGCGCTGTAAATGGTCTGCTCAGAACAACCAACATTTTCAACTTCCAACAAACCAATCCCTTTTTTAAAGTCTGAACCTTGTGCAGCAGGAACAGAGCGGTGTTGGTTAAAGTACTGAGAAAATCCTGCAGCAACGTTCCTGCTGAATCCCACTGAAAACAACTGCCTCCTTCAGGGAACTGGCCAAAATCCTGAGACAGCCCGTGTTCCAGAGCATTCTGATATGGATCACTTGGTATTTTCACAACAAAGAAAGAAGTCATGGGACTTAAATTAAAAATTGGCTAATTTTTATGATTGCAAGATTGGGAGAAAACATCATTTCTCCTTCTGGTTGTTCTGCAGCTCCCTGCTGGAGGATTCTTTGCGGCTTTGCTGATAGCAGCTCCGGAGAGACAGAAAATAGGACTGAGCAGAGCCCCTCTGGCAAGTCCTGCTTTCTGTGACACTCTGCTGTGCTTTCTGAGCAAATCCCCCTACCACTTTCCCCAAAGCTCATTAAGTGAGACTGGAGAATTAACTTTTTAGCCAGCTGCTGAACTTTTCATATTTATAAACACTTGAGTCTTTTGCTTATCTAAGAGAAAATGTGTATAGTTTGGAGATGTGCACTTCCCTGCCAATGTGTAACGAGTGGTTCTACACTTCAGAGAAAAAAAAAAAAAGCCTGAAGTTTCCTGTCACAGCTGAGTGTCGATGCCAAGGGCAAAGGTTTCTTGCCTTGTTAATCTACATCTTAACTCATGACCGGGGTGGTGGCAGTCTGGGGGTGGTGGCAGTTCTAGGGGTGGTGGCAGTCTGGGGGTGGTGACAGTCTGAGGATGGTGACAGTCCCGGGGTGGTGACCATCCTGCCCCCCACGCTCTCTGGCCCCAGGACCCGGGGTGGTGACCGTCCTGCCCCCCACGCTCTCTGGCCCCAGGACTGTAAGAAACAATGATGTGAAATATAAAACTAACACTTCTGATTTTATTCATATATTGCTTCAGCATTTTAACTAGATACAATGCTGTGGTAGCAGCTAATGCTTTATAGAGGATTATCTCCTGGGTTCTGGAGGTACGTGGCAGCACAAGTTGAATTTTCATACAGAAAGTGGAAGTTTACCTTCTATTTAATGACACCTACCTCTGCACCCAAGAATACTGTAATAAAACAATCATTATCTGCTGTATCTAGTCTTAATCTGCAGGTAGTTCCACTGCCCTAAGCTTTTAAAAGGAATTTTTTTTCCCATGTTTTTAATTATTTTGGGTAGTTTTTCATGATACTGTCTTTTAGGTTATTAAATGTAGTAATTTAAGATAATAAAGTTCGGGAGTGCTTTGGTTTTAACCGAAAAAGCAATACAAAATATATTTCTGATAAATTGTTGAATTTCCGACAAATCTAGACGACAGTTTTAGGAATGACACCTGGAGAATGTCGTGTCTGTGGAATGTTCCTGTGTAAATCTCCAAGTGATTTCAGCATTAGACTCCTTAGATTGCATTTCAGTTGCTTCTTCATCAAACTGTAGGCTCCAGCCATTGAACGTGGAGCGAGCTGCGTGGCTCCGGAGGGCTGTAAGAAGTTGAATACCTTTCTATTGACTTGAAAAAGTCTGAGTTTACATATTTTCATTTGTTAGTGCTTGAGTTTGTTTCCTCCATAATAAATCACTGGGTAAACCTTGGCAAATTGCTAAAAATATTCCAAGTGGCCAAAAATCACAGCGAAGCGTTTGCTGGTTCCAATGTACACAGTGTAATACTCTGCGGACAGAGGCCGAGCGCTGGCGGCGGCTGCTCTAGGGGTGGTGGCAGTCTGGGGGTGGTGACAGTCTGAGGATGGTGACAGTCCCGGGGTGGTGACCATCCTGCCCCCCACGCTCTCTGGCCCCAGGACCAGGCGCCAGAGGGATTTTCCTTGTCCTGCCCAGGCAAAGGGTTTGCAGGCACCAGGGACTGGTGCTGGCAGACGTGCATCACGCTCAGGGCTGCAGTTACAGCCAACTGGGGCTTGTTCTTTCTCTTGCAACTTGGACTTTTAAGGGCCACAAAGCTGGTGAGGGGTCTGGAGAATAAGTCTTACGAGGAGAGGCTGAGGGAGCTGGGATTAGTCAGCCTGGAGAAGAGGAGGCTGAGGGGAGACCTTATTGCTCTCTCCAACTCCCTGAAAGGAGGGTGTAGAGAGGTGGGGGTCGGTCTCTTCTCTCAAGTCACAGGCGACAGGACAAGAGGAAATGGCCTCAAGTTGTGCCAGGGGAGGTTCAGGCTGGATATTAGGAAAATTTTTTTCACTGAAAGGGTTCTCAGCCACTGGACTGGGCTGCCCAGGGAGGTGGTTGAGGCCCCATCCCTGGAGGTGTTCAAAAGAGGGGTTGATGTAGTGCTGGGAGGGCTGGTTTAGTGATGATGCTCCTTGTTTGTTGTGTGGGTGTTTATTTTTGTCAAAATCAGGTTGACGCTTGGACAAGATGATCTTTAAGGTCCCTTCCAACCCAGAAGATTCTGTGATTCTGTGACTTTTGATGTCTCTTGCCCAAGGGGCGAGGTGTGTTGGGTGAGGACAGGGTCCAGGCGATGGCAGGGACCCCAACCAACACCCTCACCCTGTGCCTTGCAGTGGGTGAGAGTTCAGCATTGCTCTCTGTCTCCTCTTGATTTCTGTGATCATCAGAGAGAGCTCTGCTTCTTGGGTAGCTGCTCTTCCCAATGTTCTTGGTGTGACAGAAGGGAGGAGGCAGGGTGGCAGCAGTCTGTGCAGCTCACCGAGCAGGCTGAGAAATGCTCTGTTAATAAAACGAAGGGGTAGCAGATGTCTGTGCAGCTCACCAAGCAGGCTGAGAAATGCTCTGTTAATAAAACAGCTTCTGTTGACACTGCAGACAAAAGGCTCTGACTATTTCTCCGTGGAGAATGAATTTTTATTTTTTAGCAGGTACAAAGGTGGAGAACGGGGTAGCCCTGTGTCACCCTGGGATGAAGGGATGTTGCACAATTCCTTCTGTAGGGGCTTGGGAAGGCTCTGAGGAGTTGGCCTTTGAGAAAATGAGAGCTGCAGAGTGAGAGAAGGCACTGTAAATGGTCTGCTCAGAACAACCAACATTTTCAACTTCCAACAAACCAATCTCTTTTTTAAAGTCTGAACCTTGTGCAGCAGGAACAGAGCGGTGTTGGTTAAAGTACTGAGAAAATCCTGCAGCAACGTTCCTGCTGAATCCCACTGAAAACAACTGCCTCCTTCAGGGAACTGGCCAAAATCCTGAGACAGCCCGTGTTCCAGAGCATTCTGATATGGATCACTTGGTATTTTCACAACAAAGAAAGAAGTCATGGGACTTAAATTAAAAATTGGCTAATTTTTATGATTGCAAGATTGGGAGAAAACATCATTTCTCCTTCTGGTTGTTCTGCAGCTCCCTGCTGGAGGATTCTTTGCGGCTTTGCTGATAGCAGCCCCGGAGAGACAGAAAATAGGACTGAGCAGAGCCCCTCTGGCAAGTCCTGCTTTCTGTGACACTCTGCTGTGCTTTCTGAGCAAATCCCCCTACCACTTTCCCCAAAGCTCATTAAGTGAGACTGGAGAATTAACTTTTTAGCCAGCTGCTGAACTTTTCATATTTATAAACACTTGAGTCTTTTGCTTATCTAAGAGAAAATGTGTATAGTTTGGAGATGTGCACTTCCCTGCCAATGTGTAACGAGTGGTTCTACACTTCAGAGAAAAAAAAAAAAAGCCTGAAGTTTCCTGTCACAGCTGAGTGTCGATGCCAAGGGCAAAGGTTTCTTGCCTTGTTAATCTACATCTTAACTCATGCACTTAATGGGAAGGTGCCACACGCAAACAGGCAGGGAAGGAGCTGGCTGCGAGGAAAAGCTCCTGCGCCGCTGCGAATGTTATGTTTTAAAAGCCTTTTTAATGTAATATTTGAGGTTATGATAGAAGCCAGGAGGGCCAAAGTAAAACCCTCAAAGTAAATGAGTCCTGTCATTGCTGCCTGGTGAGCTGGAGGGTTTGCACGAGGATAACCCGGGTCCCAGCACCTGGGGGATGGGGCTGAGGAGGTGCAGGGGAGTTTGCACTGTTTGTTTCAGCCCTAATCTTTATTTCTAGAGCTCTTTAGATGGCACCTAGAGTGTGGGTCCTGTCTGGAAGCACGGGCTGGTCTTGGTGGATGGTCTGTTCAGTTTTCACACCTTTGAGTTGATGACCTATAAATAATCCCTGTCTGAATACACGGGGAAAATGCGCTCCCCTCCTCGCCAGTCGGTTCAAGCAGTGCTGGGGGCAGCTGAAGGAGCTGTGGCACGGGGAAATGTCACCATTGCCCCTGCCTGGGTGCTGTGGCACAGGGGAATGCCATCCCTAATGCCCCTGGGTGCTGTGGCACAGGGAAATGCCACCCTTACCCCCCTCTTCTGCCCCTGCCCAGGTGCTGCGGGTGCTGTGGCCGGTGAGTGCTCCCAGTGTTCTGGCCTCCAGCTGAGGGGACACGCCATGGGACACGGGGGTGAGTGGACAAGGCTGGAGCTGTGGCTTCCAGAGAGTTTTTCTGTGTGTCTTGGCTAATATTTAAAGTTTACTACAAGCCTGTTTTGTGGCATCAACATTGAGGGGAGGGCACAGGGTGGGGTTTTATTCATAACCTGAGCCTGTAAAAGGATGTCGGTTCTGAAACCGGTCTCACTTTTTGTTGTTTTCTGTGCCTTCCAGTGCTTTGGGACTCTTCTTTCACCCTTCAGCTTTGTTATGGAAAACACTGAGGTCCTCCTGCTGCCCTGTCTCTGGCATCAGCAGACCCCACTGTGACTGGAGCAGGATTTCCACCCTGGTTTGATTTCACCATTCTCACGAGCCTCACCCCTGGTGTTTTGCTCAGCCCTAGACGTGGGGACAAGGACAAAAGCTGTGGGGGGCTGTGGCAGGCTTCCATGGTGGTAAAGGTGCTTAACATACAAATTTCTTCTCTGGCCTTAGTCTGTAATCATCTAAAAAAATAGTTTTCGGTTGAGCAATACCTTATTGCTGTCTTCATCACTTCTACGACTGGAAGCGAATACTTCCTCTGAAGAAAGGAGAGGACACACACTGAGCAGATGTTTGGAATATTGATGCTTCCTTCTCAGCTGCAGATGCTCCAGATAATTGGCTTAGAGTTAATTTTATAAACCTTTTTCAAAATATTTGTTAACAGCAAAGTATGGTTCTCGGTTCTGCTTTCTTGATTAAAAAGGTTGCTTCCTAACACGTTGAATTTGTTGACTTCTTAAGCGTCTGTTTGATATAGATTGTAGTGTGCAAACAAAGATCTGCTGCTTCTGTATCCGGTGAGCTTGCGTTGCACAAGGAGGTTGCAGGATCAACTCCTCTATTTCAGGTTGTTACTTCTTTAGATTTACCTCTGCGTTTTTTGTCTTTCAAACCATTTTGCCTTGAAGAACAAGAGTGTTTCTGAAACTGCCCCGAGTGGTTGCGGTATCTGCCGGGGGGTCGTTGGGAGATGGAACTCTTACGTGTTCATCCAAAGCACTGTTGGTGTTGAGAGGCTTTTGGAGAACCGAGGTGTGGAGCCCTCCTCAAAGGAACTGCTTCACTCAGGGACCAGCCACAGGGGTTTGAGGTGAAAAAATGGCTGTGGGGCCAAGTGGAGGTTGGAGGTAATTGGTGTCACCTCCATTTCCACTCTCCCCATTAGTTCTTCACGTTTGGGCCCACCACTGGGTGCTGAGGAAGCAGAGCCACGTTGGCCAAGGCTCCTTCCAAGAAGAAATGGTAAAGCACAGGCTTGTGGAGAAGTACTAATTCTGAGCACATGAGAAGTTGTCCATCATCTTCCTTTTTATAGGTAAACACATACTTACCCCTAATAACCGGGGAGATTTTACGTGCTTGATCTTCATGGCTCTTTGGGAAGGGCTGATGTGAGCCGTGATGCTGGTGGCTTCTCTCAAAGGTGGTGGGAATTATTGTAGTTCTGAATCCTGGATGGAAGAAGCTTAGAAGCTCTCTGCAGCCTACTCTGTTCCCTGGAATAGTACTGAAGTCAATTGATTACAGCTCAGTTTAAATTCACCTATAATCTGTTTTGATGCAGAAGACTGAGAATTTTTATTTATTTTTTTTCCCAAATCCTCCTTTAGCTTATCAACAAAGCACTGTGAAGCGGGCAGTCTGCTGTGCATCTCCTCGGGGAGGTTGTTGGTACCTGGTGGAGAGGAAACACACGTGTTTAGGTAGAAATGCCATTGTTAACTCTCTGCTGTATTATATATTTCTATCAACTGGGCTTTCATCCAAGTTAAATCCTTGAATTCACTGGGGAGTCGAGGGCAGCCCTACGGAAAGGTACTACCAAGGTTTGGAGTTGCCCAACTCCTCGTGGGTGATTTTCTCAACTTTCTTTCCCGTTGAGTGTTCGCCGTCGGGGCCGTTCCTCGCTGCGGAATCACCTCAGTGATTAATAGATGTGTTGTGGTGGTGTAATTTCTCTCCGAGCTCCTCAGGGGCCCATAAGGTAACCAACCTAATGCTTTTGAAAGTTGAACATTTTCCAGCGGTTGCGTGGGGTTATAAATGAAGCTCTGCTGCCCATGGATCATCCCCAGAGCTGCTTTCTCTCACTGTCCTCCCTGACACGGCGCAGAGGGGACGGGTCCTGCGGGCAGCGGAGCTGGCAACGGGCTGGGGAGTGGAAATCTGCCTGCTCCTGGAGGTGCCAGGGCCATTTCTCGCTGCAGAATCGTTGCAGTGATTAATAGATCTGTTGTGTTGGTGTAATTTATTCAGCCTGGAGAAGAGGAGGCTGAGGGGAGACCTTATTGCTCTCTACAACTACCTGAAAGGAGGGTGTAGAGAGATGGGGGTCGGTCTCTTTTCTCAAGTCACAGGCGACAGGACGAGAGGAAATGGCCTCAAGTTGCGCCAGGGGAGGTTCAGGCTGGATATTAGGAAAAATTTTTTCACTGAAAGGGTTCTCAGCCATTGGACTGGGCTGCCCAGGGAGGTGGTTGAGGCACCATCCCTGGAGGTGTTCAAAAGACAGGTTGATGTAGTGCTGGGAGGTATGGTTTAGTGATGATGCTCCTTGTTTGTTGTGTGGGTGTCTATTTTTGTCAGTTAGGTTGACGGTTGGACAAGATGATCTTTAAGGTCCCTTCCAACCTAGAAGATTCTGTGATTCTGTGATTCGGGGAGGGAGGAGCTCATGGTGGTTTCCCTGCAGGGCTCTTGGAGGCTGGTGAGAACTTGCCTTGGCCACTGAGGAGCAGGGACTTGCCACCGATCCGTGCCAGAGAAATACTCATCAGCCCACGTGCAAGGAAGTTGTGTGTGTGTGTATATATGTATATGTAAAGACAATTATGACTTAGGACAGATAAGCATTGATTGCTGTTTCCCCCAGACATGCAGGAGGGGGACCCTACAGCCATGGGGAGGGCAGAAGCCTCTCCTGGAGGCTGTGTCGGTGTGAGGGAACTTCTCAAGTCTTCTTTTCACTCAGAGCAGGCTCTGAATGTCAAGGAACTCAAAAATCAGCATTGATTTATATATGTGGAAAATCAGCGATTATTTACATACCGGGTGCTGATTTGTGTATTTGTAGAATATGATAATTAGAGTCCCTGGTTCATTTAGGCAGGACTTGCGTGGGGGGTGGGTTTTGTTGCTGGTGGTGTCTCACCACCCTGTGACAGCCTGGTTTTTGGTCAGAATGTCCAGGCAGAGGAACGCTGCGTTTCTTCTGCCAACCTCTGGCTTTTCCGCATGCGATGGGCAGAGCTGCCTGCGTTTCCAGCCTTTGTGTGTGTGTGTGAACGTGGCAACAGGGATTTCATCCCCTCAGAAGCCCTGCTCACCGAGGACACCCTGGGGATGGTCACCCTCAGCCCCAGCTGCTGCTCAGGAGCGGTTCTGGTTGGGTTTGTCCCCGGTTCCCTGGGCAGCTCCCCCAGCACGGACGGGGATGTTTATTCCCTGCTCCTCGTCCTGGAATTGTTGTGAGGGTGCCAAGGCTCGTAGATCCATGACTCCGAGCAAGGAGGGTTTAAAGGTCATAGTCGAGACCATTAATAACAAGGTGCAAACGGCTGGTTTATATGTAATGTGAAGCTTTTTACTTATTTCATTTTTGCACTTTGGGGGCTCTGTTTGCTTATGGAGCACTTGGTGTCTGGTACCTATTTAGGCTGAGAGCAGGCAATTGGGTTCCTTCAGGCCTTGGGAGGAATGCAGAAAATTGTTCTCTGGTGTTGTAATTCTGCTGGGATAACTGGAGCTTATTTGTCTCACTACTTATTAAATGCATACTTGTCTTGAGGTCCTCTTCTTTTTTTTTTTTTTTTTTTTTT